AGAAGCGGTGAAGAATAGGGAGCCCACAAAAGACGTACGCGCCCAGCTACGTACATGAACACGGCCCCTTCACCCGCCAGACCGGCCGCGTGATACGAACATCCGCGCAATGCGAGATCTCGAAAACAGCGTGGATTCATGTACGTGTACGTCCTTCTTTCGCTCCTGAAAAAAACAAAAAAAACAAAAAAAAAAAAAAAAAAAAAAAAAAACAAAAAAAAAACTGCCTGTCCTCGCTGTTTCTGGGGCCCATTCAGGCACGGCCTGCCCTGTCGAGTGCGCCCCGCCAGGCCGCCGGCGAGGTCCCACGAGAGCGGCCCCCGGAAGACGAGGTCGAGGGGCAGGGCTGCGAGGGGAAAACAGGCAACCCGCCCAGAAGCTGAGGACTGCTGGGCTGACCGTGGGTGTTCCTAAGTGGATAGGGGGGTTACAAGTGGATGCCAAGGTGGGTTATATCTGGCCCAACCCGGCTTATAAGTGGGTTACAAGTGCCCTAAGTAGCTTAGGAGGGGTCCATAACTCGGCTAAGTGGGCGGAGCCCACCTAACCCAGATCGTTAATCCCCCTACGCTACTTAGGGCACTTGTAACCCACTTATAAGCCGGGTTGGGCCAGATATAACCCACCTTGGCATCCACTTGTAACCCCCCTATCCACTTAGGAACCCCCACGGTCAGCCCAGTGGGGGTTCGTTCAGGGCTTGACGACTTCTGCCGTCCCTCGACTCGCGACTCGCGCCGAGGCGGCCACGACCTGTCCCAGATGCGCCTGGAGGTCTCTGGACCTACCTGGGCTTACCCAGACTTGCCTGAACGACGATCAGAAACGGATCTTACGCGCGAGATGACACAGCGGCCTTGCGCGGCGGCTTACGCGGGCCGCCAGAGCTGCACGCCACACGGAAGACGAGGGCGCTTACGCGCGACCTCACGCGGGGAGCAGGCGCGCCAATGTCTGCGCAGTTGGACCCGTTTCGTTTTCGTCGCCCGCCTGGATTACCTAGACTTAGTTTCGTTGACCTTGATTTGTCTGGACTGATCTGGTGGGCCTGTTTTCCACCACCACCACCATAAGTTGTTCGGGAAGGGTGCCCTCCTCCTCCTCCTCCTCTTCGTCCTCCTCCTCTTCGTCCTCCTCCTCGTCCTCCTTCTTCCCCCCTCCAACTTATGGTGGTGGTGGTGGAAAACGCTCCCATCATGATCCCCACAAGTCGATTGGCGAGACGTCGTCAAGCCCTCAATAATGGATCCCCGACCCGCGAGCCGTCCCGCCCGCCCTCCCCTGCCCCCCCCCCCCCCCCCCCAGGGCGACAGGCCAGAAGCTGGGGGGAGCCTGGCTCCTCACCCATTAGGGGGCGACGAGATCTATACATATCCACTGCTCCTGGCCAGGCCCATCCTGGGCCCAGGAGCTGTGTATATGCCTCCCTGGCCAGGCCAGGAGGGCGTATACACAGCTCCTGGGCCCAGGATGGGCCTGGCCAGGAGCAGTGGATATGTATAGATCTCGTCGCCCTAATCAGGGGGAGGGGGGCTCATCATGTCGACGGTATTTCTCGAGAGGGTTAGGAGGCAACTGCTGGCTGGGTGGCCTTCGCCGGAAGGACCAGGGAGAACCAAGCCCCACTGGGGGGCTGCTGCGCCGGATGAGGCCGCGGATTCAGCGGGCGCAAGCGGGGTTGAGCCAGAGAAAGCTGGATTGAGCGGGATTACCCAGGATTACTCTGGAATCCGGAACAAAGCAAAATCAGAACTTGACCTTACCCGCCAGACACGAGGCCACAGCCGCCAAGTCTGAAGACAGCTCGCGCCGATTCTGCACGGAAACCGGAGCAGCAAATCATCCACGCGACTTAGTCCTTGTTTACGCTTCCGAGGCCCCCCTTCGACGCCTCGTGGTTTTCGGGTTGCAACTCGGGCCTCCGGCGGCCGCTCGGGACGATTCGGGTACGCCCAGAAGTTCTCGACGAGGCGCGGCTGCTGGAGAGCACCGCGAGGCGAGAATACCATGCAGAAAGCCACCGACTCGCCCGAAAAATTCCGAAGGGCCCGAAGGTCATCGCCCCTTCTTGTCGAGGCCTCCCAGAGGGGGTCCGAGCAGGTGGGATCGGAGGATCGCGCCGCCTCCCCGCTGCACCGGCGACGCATTGGCGACGTCGGCGGCACATCGGCATCGGCGATGCGGCGCGATCCGCCGACCACCTCTGCTCCGACCCCATCGGCAGAAGAGCCCAGAGTCGAATCGGTAGCGCGGATCGGCGACCGAAGCGCATCGGATCGGCCGGAATCGGCGGCCAGGTCGGGAGGAGTCGAGTCGGCGGACAGCAGTAAGGCTAGTGAGGCCCCCATGGAGGAGCCGAACTCGAGAACGGGGTCCGCACTCGGACCGAACCGGAATCGGAACCGATCGAGTTCGGGCCGAGCCGAGCTGGAGGAGCGCCCAAGGGAGCCCTGCATCTGGGAGGCCTCGATCCTGGGCTCCCCCCCACCCTCGCCATCGCTCGGACGTCCATTCCCTGTGCTTTTTTTCAGTTTCGTGCGTGGCTTTTTCGCCAAATGATCAAGGATACTCCTCGATGGTCCTCGCCGAAGGAAAAATGCACACGTCCGAGCGATGCCAAGCACCAGGAGGATGCGGGGGCCTGGGAGGCGGCCGGGGGGTCTGACCCGGTCGGGGCCCGAGAACTGTCGGCACGAACAGAGTGGGCACGGAAAGGATGGGCACAGTGCCCAAAAGCAGTTCCTGCCCCTTTTGAGCAGGACTCGCTGTCCACGCCGCCGCGGCCCGTGTCCATGCGAGACAGAAGGCCGCCTGCCCAACAGCGGCCGCTGTTGGTCTGGGACAACATTTGTTGTTGGGCGTTGTACCCATTGTTTCCGTACCCATTTCGGGCGAGGAGGTAGCGAGGCCCTTTTGTATCTCCATCACTTAAACTTCGATTTCCCGTGGAAAACCTAAGGAAAACCTAAGGCGCATTGCAAAACAATTCAGGAACACTGAGCCCCTCCCCTTCGACAAGGGTTCCTGCTTCAGCGGCCCGACTGCATAGGTGCGCAGGGCTCCGTCCCCTGGATTTTCTGGAAACGCCAAAGGGTAACTAAATCCCAAGAGGCCCCAAGAGACCCACAAGAGGTCCCCACGAAGCCCGAAGAGATCCCCAAGAGGCTCCCAAGAGGCCCCCAAGAGGCTCCCAAGAGGCCCCAAAACTCCTCCCCAGAGGCACCCTAGAGCCTTCCGAAGAGACCCTCGGCAGCATCCCTGAAGGACTCTGGCCCACGTCAGCGCCGCCGCCGCCGCCGTTCTCATCGTCGTCCCCCTTCCAGGGCCG